GGAATTAAAAGCCACCACTTATTGCAGTCCTCAAAATCAGCACGTCTAAAATGACCACAGGCCTGAAAATTTCAAAGTAAGTAAACAACCAAACACTTTAAATAGAGATGTAAAACTTTTCATAGTACTTTTTGCTTCTTACATTTAACTTTCTGTGTAACTATTCTCTCAACGATACAACATATTCTATACCTGAAAACAATTGTGATAAGCCCTTTTCCCTCACAGGGAAACCATATCAGAGTATACTTCAAATTTTAGACAATTCTTGCAATCTCAAGACAACACTATTGAATACAAAATACAGTACCTTTCCCACTGGTGTCAAGGGCATCATCTTCAAGGTCATCATCAAAAATCTCTCGGCCATCTTCCTGGTAGCCAATACCATCTAGATATAGGAACAAAACATTTAGAAGAATTATTTATTTAACTTTATTTATTTTTACATTTTTAAAAAGGTTTTTACCATAGGGTATGTACACTCGCCACAGAGACAGTAAGAATGTGAGAAATCAACCCCCAGGGCAGGTAGCCACACCACAATCCCTTCTCCATTTTCCTCCTGGGATTTTGGGCACACATGTGCATGTTCCCAGTAGGAGTTTCAAGATGCTAGGTCCTAGATTCGAACCACATTTAGCCATGTGTGAATCCGGCACCCCAACTATTATGCCACCAGTTTTTGCTGTAGGGCATGTGTGTTCACCAGAGAGAGGCGGGCGGGGAGTGAAAAAGCAAGTCACCAGATCTGGGACTCAAACCACAGTTGGCGATGTGGGAGTCCAGCAACTTAACCACCATAACACTTGCTGGTCCCAAAACAAAGTATCTAATACTGGGATCAAGTTTCTAAAAGTGGCCAATAATACTTTATCCGTGACACACACCAAAAATGCTTTAAAATCCACACAGATCTTCTCCTGGCCTATGCCACTTGTAAGAATTCTGTTCACACAGATGTCAGATGAGACAACATCCACGCAGCAGGTATGGAGTCAAAACTGAAGGATACATATGTACTTTGCCTAGCTAGGTGAGTGAAGGAAATCATCTGGCTCACGACATCAAAGTTTACAACAGGGTACTTTGTAACAGTTTTACTCTACCAGAAGAAAAAAGGAAAAGGATCAAGATCACCACAAGCTCAGAAAGGCACCCCAGTCTCCTAGGAAAAACCAGCTAGATAGTGAGTCCAATTACAACAGAAACATAAACATAGTCACAGGCACAGCCTACATCTCCTCCCTGCGGTCGGCACTTGCAAAAGCCAGATCCCACTAGCAAGAACCACTCGCAAAAGCCAGATCCCACTAGCAAGAACCAGCGAGCTCTCTACGGAGGTGTGAAAACCTTAGGGACTAAGTGACTTGACCAAGATCATACCGTGGAAACGTGGGAAAGACACAATTTGATTCTGCATCCCTTAATTCCAAATGCTGTGTGTTAGCCCCACAGGCCCAGCACTCTTCCCGCTTCCTACACAGCCATTTCCTAGAAGATTTACCCAATAACCTGAAGTATGTGCCTAGATTCTCCAAAATATCCCCAAATAAACTTCCTCAGGTCCTGCTTATGCTCATATAATTACAGAACATCCAAACCGAAGTCATGATCCTAACAATGCCTTATATCTGCAAAGCAGCAACTCCACCACACGAGAACCTCCAAGCAGCAACTAAGAGTGCCTGGCAGGAAATTCCCTCCCACATACCATCATCCACGATCCAGTCATCATCCTGGCGTGCCTGAACCAGCTTCGAATACTGCTCTTCATCAACTTCTTCATAGACACTTGTGAAGTCCTCGACCTGCCATTACACAAGTTAGGAAAAAAGCTTCAAATGGAGTGAAAGTGTTAAACAATTCTGATGAAAATAATTGTCAAGTTGAAACCAGAATGGCAGCCTGAAGGAGTAGCTGCAACCAAATTATGAGTTCTGACATTCAACACCACTACAGGGTTTTCCTTAAATAGACATCAATTAACTTAGTATTCCTTTTAGGTGGGTGTTAACATAAGATATTAAATGATTCCATTAGCATAATACACTTGTCACACCATCAATTACTCATCTACTTCATAAAAAACAAACTGAATTATAGCCAATTCTTCATTAGCTGCTTTGGGGATTGTTCACTTGTGATTTCTAGACTGGTTTCTCCTACACTTCACAAACCTGCAAGGCATGTCACTTGCCTCTCCACTCACTCATGTATGTTCTGCAAATAACTAACTGGAATAACTCTTCAACCAAATATAATTCAAAAGGAAAATCTCCCTCATCTATCCCCCTCCAAAAATTCGGAAAACAAACATACTCTATTCTACAGGCAAACTGGAACTGGTTTTTGAGTAATCCCTGTTCATACTGCCACTATTCCCTATCATTCTAAGGACTTGATACTGCTCGGGGTCTTCAATGCTCAGCTACGGGAAAGACAAGTCCAGCGGCTTCAGAAACATGCCAGGTGTGTGTTTATGTGTGCCCAAGATCCCAAAAAGAGGGAACAATGGAGGAGAAGGGATTGTGGTGTGACTATCCTCCATTGGGGGATACTTTCTCACTTTCCCTCTCTCTGTCTCTAGTGAGCACAAGGGCCCACTAGCAAAAACTAAAAAATAGTGCCCCTTTCTCTCAAAAGTTCTGCCTTTTTCAAATGGGTGGTGGGAGAAATGATGAACTCCACCCAAAGAGGTGGGATCCTGGGGAAAAAGCATACAGAGCTGAGAGAGCCCGTTGGCCAGAGCTGACTGGCTTTTTGCCACACCTACAAGGCTTATAATAATTACAGGATTAGGCTTAGTTTTCACCTCCCTTTTAACCTACTCTACAGGGATCACTGGCAAATACTGATTTGGCCTTTCACCACTTGGTAACAAACTACCTGCCCTACCAAATTAAATTTTTAAAATCCCAGACATAAACTATTCCAATCAACATTACTGTACTGATGAATTCTCCTTCAGAGGGGGGTGGGGGCAGCATGATCATTTTCCTTGTTGAAGTCTATCAGGCATTCTTTGACTCTTACTTAAGTAATTTGCTTATATACTATCACAAAGACACCAGAAAACTATATGAAAAAAAAACATTTTGAATAAAAAGTCATTTTGACTCTATCTTTAAAAACAACATTGCTACTGCTCAGCACGAACTCTTTGAGCCATACAATTAACATCACAGTGTTTAAAGAAAAAATCAGCCACATTGTGCCAACATCTGAAATGCCCCATGGAACTCCTTTATACAAGTACCTACATTACAAATGCTTCACTCCTGCTTTTCTGTAATCCTTTTAGCAACCCTTTATGATCTGGTTGCCTCACTTAACTTGAACAAATGGTGCCAAATGGCAAAAATTCACTTCCATTAGCTTAATTGTCCAATGCCATATAGACCCTGGTTAAACATGCATAGAAAGCAATCAAAAAAAAAAAAAAGGAAAAATAAAACATACATAGAAGGGGACTTTAAAAAGTTTGTAGGTAAAAAAGAGAATTAAAGTACAAGTCTATTTTGATTTGAAATCCACACATAGTTGTTGAGTTTTTTTTAATAATACAACACATTTCCATGAACTTTTTGAACTTTCAGACACCCTTCGTATTCTGAAACCAGACTGCTGGGTTCAAATAAAGGATCTGAACTGGGACCTCATTAAACTTTGTATGCCCTGGATATGTCACCAGCAAAATGTTGTTGATCATGGTACCTAAGTTCACTTGACTACTGGAAGGAAATAAACATACTGGGAAAAGCACTTAGAACTGGGTGGTTAGCTCACAAAGTAAAATTAGGTGCTGCTATTGTTACTGTTTCTCATTCATTAAACACTTTCAAGCCTGGAGGCAGTTAAGATACTCTGGGAGGATTGAAGGTGATGCCGGCCACTGTTGCGTGATGCAGATGGTAGCCACTGTCTTACCTGAGGGCCATAAAGAGTGTGCAGAGGAAAACACACCAAAAGAGCATCACATCAACCTTACAGAAGTAGGGCTGTCTCCACTGCCATTTCCCTTACAAATCAGGTGAAGAACAATTCTCTCCAAGGAGAAGTAGTGAACTAGACCTTAAGACTAAAGTAGAAGCACCTCTAAGTTTCCCCCTCAAAAATGGGACTCAGCAGAGGTGTGCCAGGCTCCAAAAGGAAAATTACACATACAGCTCCTTTCATTTCAGAATTTTAAAATCACCTGTAAAGTGTCTCACAGGAATTAAGAGCCGGGTACTCTCCCTAATGAGTAAATCTACCTCATCAAGAGCCAGGTACTCTCCTTAATGAGTAAATCTATCTCATACCAAAGCTTGTTCAATATTAAGAAATTACTACCACAGGCCAGCCCACAGCCTGGTGGTTAAGGTGGATGGATCCCTCATGGCAACAGCACAGTTCCAGTCCTGAAGCCAGTGGCTTGAAAATCTCACTGGGCGTGTCTGCATGTGGGCCCAAAACGAGGTAGGAATGGAGACAGGATTGCAGTGTGACCATTCCCCATGAAGGGGTGTTTTCTCATCCCTACCCCTCACCCCCACCCCCTAGTAAGTACATGTGCCCTCTGGCAAAAAAATATATATATATCTTAATTACTATTACAAGAAATATATGACTATTTCTAATTGGTGACAAAGGTGACAGAAGACTACCTGCAGGCTATAAATTAATGAAGCACAGGAGGAAATAAAAAGGAAATGGTTACTTACTTCATACTTATACTTCTCACCAGCTTTAGCCTTTTTCAGTCTTTCTAGAGCTTCCTGGCGTCCTTTCTTTGACTTTTTTTCTCGCCGGGCTCGAGAAGCTACAAAACTCCCTGACTCTGATGCAGGTGGAAAAAAAAAAAGACAAATACACATGTAATCTTACAAAATTACCAGCCATCTTTCCTCAAAGCCAAGGAACATTTGTAGCCCACAGTAATATATATTTTCAATGTTACCAAGGATACATTTTATAATGTAAGTAAGTCGCAAAGTTCATGGCCAAAGAAGCAGATCCTATGGCTCTTCAGAAACACTCTTTAAAATCCAGTTACAACAACTGAAGTCCCTGTTATTTTTTCTTCCAAAAAGAGGAAAATCCCAAATTCAACTGCTATCCTATGGAGACACTAGAGAAGAAAGATCAGCCAACGGTTTTCCATCTGAAAGGACAGGCCCCAAGTAATCCAGTGAGTTATAAAAGACAAACAATTCATTTTCTATTCTATTAATCAACATTCAAAAGGCTTTAAGGGGCAGGTGCACTTTGCAAAGTGCTAGGCAATGAGAGAGACAAAGAAGATAAAGAAGACATGGCCTCTATATTCACACTATTTACAATCTAATATGGGAGATAAGTAGCGAATGGCTCTAAAACACTACCTAGAAGTAATCCATGTCCTAACAGGTTCAGATAAAGCACCTGGAATTTCAAAGGAGGGCTATATTGAGGACTGGGGAAAGTAAAGATGGCTCATAAGGAGAGTCATCTTAACTCTATCACTGCTTTCAAGACCTCGGTTATGACATTATGACAGTAAAAAAAATTACAAAGATTAAAATGTATTTTTGTCAAAAATTATTGAACTACTTACTGGAGGGCCTTGAGGTTCATTCATTCCACTTTTGAATTATTCATGCTTTTCAGCTTATAAACTGACTGCCCCACATACATACTGAAAAGAACCCATCCACAGAACTCAGCCTTTCCTGTGTACCAGCGGATGATAACCAAGTCAAGCACAACAGTGTTGCCTGCGTGCTATGAGTTTAAGCTTGGCACAATTGCCATCCATGTCTGTGAAATTAAGAATTTTATTGTATTTGGTGCCAATTAATTTATCAAAAGGAATAGGCACAGAAAAGAAGTATTATTAAGAGGCATCTTAAAAGCTTCAATCGCACTGGAATATTTCTAACAACATTAAGCTGTTTGACTAAGTAGCTGAAATACAAAATACTTATCACCTTTAAGATGTAGTTTTAAAGTGTATTGCCAACGTACAGAATGTTGGCAATAAATTTTTAAACTACATCTTTAAAGTGAAGCAGAATTAGAAATCTTCCCTCCCTCCCCCCAGCTTTCTGGAAATGGAATCTCTCTCTTCATAACATCTCAGTCTATTGTTTGACTTTCACATTTGACTTTTAAATCCATTTTCCAAAAGACATTAAGTAAAAATTAAGGAACACAGGTACTTAACGACGACAGCCACAAAATTTTGGATGTCACTCAAATGATTTTTCCAAGATCACAAGCAGGCCTACATGAAAAGGTCTCAGAGATTACTGAACAGAGTCCTTCAGCCCCCCCAGCCACAAAATTTTGGATGTCACTCAAATGATTTTCAAGATCACAAGCAGGCCTACATGAAAAGGTCTCAGAGATTACTGAACATGATCACTGAGAGTGAGAATCTGGCCTCAGGGTATTCCCTTCTGGACTCCCTTGACTCCAGACAAAATCTACAGGTCTTCCAAGGGACTTACTCCCTCGGCAACAATTTTTCACTCCACAGGCTTCAGGGCCCAATTACAAATAAGACAGAGTTCCCTATCTTCAAGGGGGCTCACAATCAAAGCAAAAGGGCGTGGAACTACCGTCATAATATATACATGGTGCCACAGAAGAATAACACAGTATTGAGGAAACAGTGAAAAGAGTCATTAATTTTGCCTAGGAAATCAGGGAAGGCTTCACAAAGGACTCCAAGAAGGGCCTAGAAAGAGGAGTGGAATATTACCATCAGAGAACAGGGTAAAAAGTGGCCAAAAAAAAAAAATTGAAAAATTGAAAAAAAAAAAAAAAAAAAAAACGAGGAAAAGGGATGAGACAAAAC